CTATCATGACAGCATGCTTACAGTGGCTAGATGCTTACAGTGATAACTGTTTGATTGCCTGTGATGAAGGTCGAATTGCTGTAAATTGGGATTTAATCATTAAACTGTGAGTTTTGTTCATACACGTGTATGGAGGATCCAGTCTGTGCATCCCAGCTGGCACAGCTGGCATCCACTCAATCTGTAAAATACTCCGGAAGGTCGTCGGCCAGCAAAAATGGTCGGTCGGCTAAAATAAATGGCCGGTCGGCACAATAAATTGCCGATCGGCTAAATATATTGCCGATAGATGCTTCCAAGGTCAAAAAATGGCCGGTGGGTGTCCAAAATGAAGCCCCGGAAGTAAGCTTTCCAATGGTGGTGGCCTCATAGCTAAAATCCAAGTATGCAAATGAATAAGCCCAATTCAGCGAGGGCTGCTCAACTCTCTCTTACCCGGATTCAAGCCGAACTTCTCCCAAACTAGTTTTCTCCTCTCCTTTCCTCTATTTTTCAACTCCAAACCCCTAAACGAAGTGTTTTGAAAGATTTTTCAAAGATTTCATCTCTCTTTCATTCATTTCCACTTTGTCCCTGCTCGGTTTACCGAAAAGCGCAACGTTTGACAAAATGCGAGCCTCGGAACATCGCAGAAACTTTATTTCAAAAAAGTTTTGAAAGAGAGGGTTTTAAGGTCTAAAAACCATCCAAAATAGCTTTGGTCCAAAACGGGGTGTGAATTTGAGACTTGTCTCTCTCCTTGCCGAAGAAACTGGATCTTTGCCCTGCACACCTTTTATCACCAAGTAAACCATCAGTAACGCCCAAGTCTTATGGGCTGTCAAAAATGGGGTGTCTACAACGACATTTTTAAAGCGTCATAATGATACAGCGACGGTCTCGTCTTCGACGTTTGGTTCTAAACATCACAAAAAGAATTCGCGGCATTTTTTACACCTATAGCGACGTTTTTTAAACGCCACTAAATGTAAAATTTTCAATAGTGACACTCTAACGTAATATTCAAAAAAACTAGTTAGTATACTTTTTTCAACCATAATACTTCAATATAACACTAAACAAAACTCCTTAGTGTAACACTCTAATGTAGCCAACAAAAAAGATACGGGATTCTTCGAAATAATAACATTAAAATTAAAATACTATTATTCAAGATCAAAAATTAAATTCTCTTTTCAAGTTTAATAATATGACAAGTAGTGCTACGAATTATGGAAAAAAATATCATGAAAATGATCATGAAAGATTCTCCACCTTTGGATTACACTTAGAATAAAACACCACACACTAATCAAAGGATGAAAAATCTTCGTGATGTATTTCATGATATTTTTTTCTAATTATCAACTAATCATATCATTTACATATTATTAAATCTAAAAAATGGGTCTACAAAATTGGCTTTAACGGCTGATTAAAACTATAACATGTGACTTTTGTGAGATGCTTGATAGGCCAACAAACATTAAACTCCCCTCATTTGATCACTTGCAAGTTGCAAATTCACCTTTGCTTATGAGTTCAGCTAAAGAACACACTTTGGGAAATATGACTTTCTTTGTTTTTTAATAAGTTACGATGAATTGTTGCTTTGATTGTGCACATTTTGATGTTACTATCATGGCTAGTCTAGTTTTGAATCAGTAATTCAACACATCTCTTTGAAATTTAGGTTATTTGCATGCATGTTTTCTTCATTTTTCACATGTATATATATGACCATATCTTCAAATCTAGATTTGTTACCATGTGCAGCATCTCATGTATATATATGTGAAAAAATGTTGGTTGATCTTAAAAAATATTTTCAAAAAGACCGACCGAGTGCACGAGATTTCCAATAAAACAGACTTTGGGCACAAACTTGAGGGTTGTTTGATACAAATATGTTGCCTCAATTTGTTGCCATTGTTGTGCGGCTCATTTCAATGATCTGAACCGTTCACATTTTAGAATACATTGAGTACATACTTGCAAAAAATCAAGTTGATCGGATGTCGTTAACCATTACATCGAATTGCAATTGTCACTTATTTTTGTAGATACAAATGCAATTCGATGTAATGGTTAACGATATCCGATCAAATTGATTTTTTTTACTCGATATATTTTTTGTAAGAGGAGCTAATTTAAGCCCACTAAATTATTTAGGCCCAATAGTCCAAGGTTGGTGGGCCCGAATTTATCGCCAGTCCAAGATTGGTGGGTCCAGATTTATCGCCATCAAACGGGCCGAATCGCTCTAAGCCTCGAAAGGGTTCGGATCCACGAACTTAGAGACTTACTCAGGCCCGGACTCGAAAGGGTATTAAGCAAGCCTAGAGATCCGAGGCACTCGGACTCGAAAGGGTTCGGATCTACGAACCTAGAGATCCGAAGCACTTGACTTCGAATGGATTCAGACGTAATCTAGAAGTCGCTCCGTTAATGAGTCCCAGAACACTTGCGGGCTCGGAGCTTTCCGAGATCTACGCACCAGAACCATGGGCGTAATGGAGTTCGAACAGAGGACCCGATCCCGAGGACGGTAAGTGGAGATAAATTCACTCTTCGGTTAAACTAGCCTATACCCGGGTCGAGGTGGCACGACTCCGGGGGGTCCATGAGACTCGACAATATTTAGCGGCGGGGAGGTCCTCTAGGACTACCTCGGCCCTTTGGGATGGTTGGGGATCATTGGTTATGTATGGCTAAGAAGAAGGGTTCGCCGAGAGGTTGATCTCCTCTTCGGGGTTTTCCTTATCCTCGGAGAGGTCACCTTTTCGGACAAGGTGGTTAGAGAGAATATTCCCCATGTGCCTTGCACATGGTCTCCATCCTACATCATGAGATGCCTATAAATAGCACCCACCCATAGCTTTACAAGGGATGGATTTTGGAGATTTAACTCTTGGGAAAGAACTAATTTCCCTTCTCCATTATCAACCTTGAGAGTGAAAGTGGGAGATCCATGGGATAGCCTTGCCATTATTCTCTCTCTAGCCACCTTGCCTTCTTCTTCACCCAATCTCTTATCTCCATCATCTCCTTTACTCTTGTGTTCCTAAGTTGAGACTATTGAAGAATCTAAGCCTCTTATCATCTTCTAGAGAATTCGAAACGATGTTCTTGAACCCTCTCATACAATTTTAAAATGTGAACGATTTAGATCATTGAAACAGGTTCCGAAATGAGCCCCATATGGCTGCACAACAGTGGCTGCTGTGCCCGGCACAACAACGACCCCATAAATAGAATGGAATTGTATCGCGTATACTTTTAAGAAATTTCACACTTCAAAAGTTATTTAAAAGGAAAAAAAAAAAGATCATTAGTTACATTTGCAGTTTGATGTGTCTGACCAAAAACACATGTTGACAGACACAATAATGTTGGAGTTCAAGCATTACACCCTCAACCTGGGTCACAATGGAGACAAACCGTGATAAATAGGAAGGACTATAGAGAAGTAGGCAATGAAACAGATGGGTTTTATAGAGGAATCAAGAAGCTTTACCACAAGGAGGAGATCTCGGTTTGGAAATGCCTGTGGCCGACCCAAGTCTTAGAATAGCATGCCTGTGCTTCCTTCATCACTTGACTCCCCTGTGTCAAGAAGCCCTTTTTTTTTTCTTGAATCGTACAAGTGGCGAGGTGACCATGGAATGAGGAGATTTGAAAGGGTACATGTAGAATTTGAGTTGTAGAAATGTCGGCTGTGCAAAGGCATTATACTTCAGTTTTTGTTTGGTAGATGCAAGAGGCCTTGAATTGTGAAGTTAGAAGTTTTTGTTTGGTAGATGCAAGAGGCCTTGAATTGTGAAGATAGAATGTAATCATACACCATGATATAATCGTCTGATAAATACAACAAAATTTCACTGTTTATGTCTGATAAGTCTATATGAACATACATTTTTGTGAAATTTCACCCGTTTTGTTTCAATGATTTGGGTATTTGATTGATAAAAGTCCTGAAACCTTAAAACAGAGGTTGTTAAAAGACAAACCTGAAACATTTAGAAAACTCTGATACATCCAATTTTACTCTTTAGTTAATTATTTTACTATTAGGAATTCAAAAGTATTATGATATAATAGATCATGTGTATACAAACATTACTATATGGATAAAGAATCAATCAAATAGAAGTATTTCAAAATTAATAACAATTCAAAATTACCTGGAATTCAAGAGTGTCTATTAGAAGCCTAGAATAAAGAGATTAAGGGAAGACGTGTAACAAAAGTAAGCAATAGATTTTGGAAAGAAGCCTTAAAACCAGTTCACAAACATAATCTAGATTATTTGTACCTTCCATAATCTATATTAAATCCGATCTATTAACAGACTTAATTTAGATTAGATTATGTTTCTTGTGAACTAGTTTATGGTATCTTTAACTTTCAAAAATTTATTAATTGCTTTTTGTTATTGTGCTTCTCTAATCTCTTTATTCTAAGCTTCTTGTAGACCGATTAGTCTTGAATTCTTTATGTTAATTGCATCCAGTAAGGAATTTGAAAGATCTTTTTTAATTTCTTCTGCTAATGTATTCATCCATAAAGGAGTAATGTCACTTGTCAGATTTTTTCTTAATTTTTTTATAGTTTATATTTGAAAGGTTAAGTGATAGAACAATGGAACAACATAGAATCAACATTAATGAAAGAGAACATCAGCAAGAAGAAAAATGCGACGTTGTGATAGATCAAATACGACGTCAATGGCCGTCATACAATGACATAAGTCAATATACGAGAGTAAATATGATCGACACAAAGGCAGCAAAATTTATAACAAAATTCACTGCCAAAAGAAATGTTGGTTTGGGCTTGTCAGAGTTGCCACCTCCTCAGACCTCCTCAAATCAACCTCGAAAAAAAGAAGACAGTAGGGATTCTGATGAACCTTGTATCTTCAGAGTGCATGAAGGACTACGTCATGCAAAAAAAAGGCATACACACCTATGCTAGTTTCTGTAGGGCCTTATCACCATGGTCAACCAAAACTACTTGCTATGAAAAAACGTAAAGAGCATTATTTGGAATCACTCCTTCAACGTAACAACAATCACATAAAGGAGGATTACTTGGATTGTGTGAACAAGTTGGAAAAAAGAGCTCACAAGTATTATGCAAACCCAGTTGATCACCTCGACAGTGATGAATTCGTGAAAATGATGCTATATGATGCTTGCTTTGTTACTGAGTTTCTGCTTGGTATGTTTATTGTTGAGAATAAAAATCAATAATCATATGTGGGTGATGAAGTCAAAGTATCATGGAAGAGAATACAAATTTGCAATGACTTGATGCTACTTGAAAACCAACTTCCCTTCTTTGTTATATTTGAATTTTGTGACATGAGCTACGGTGTGGGCATGCTCAAAATCCAAACCAGAATCATCCTGATCCTATCTCCACCCTCACCCTCACGGTGCTGGCTTTGTTGCCTATTCGTCAGAACCTACCGGAAGGGATTGACATTTCCAAAATCAATTTTGAAAATATGTCTGTCTCTGAAAGCAAGCATTTTCTTGACTTGGTGCATAATGTTTGTCTTCCCTCCTCCTTAAGAGATGAATCAAATAACCACCAAAATAAGAATCAGAACACTTGCTTTAAAATGCCGTGTATGATAGAGCTTTAGGATGCTGGTGTCAAGTTCGAGATTAGAGATGAGCGCAACCAAAGCATGTTTGATATACGCTTTGAACATGGTCATTTTAAAATACCAAAGTTTAAAGTCACTGATTCGACAGAGACATTCTTCCGAAACATCATTGCCTATGAACAACATTCCTCGGATGACAAACCCAAATATTTTACTGATTATACGTATTTCATGGATCAACTTATCAACTGCAAAGAAGACGTGACCCAACTTCGTTGCCATGAAGTTCTTGAAAACTGGCTAGGTGATGACGAAGTGGTGGCACTTATGTTCAACAACCTGGGTAAAGGAAGAATCATTTCAGAGCAGTTCTACTACGCTGAACAGTGCAGCAAAGTGAACGCTCATTGCAAGAGATGGTGGAACAAAGGAGTAGCTTCATTGAAGCGTGATTACTTCACAAATATATGGGTCATTGTTGCCACCATAGCAGCTGCTTTTCTCCTCCTTTTCACTCTCACACAGACTGTCATTGCTCTAATTACAATTATTAGTTCACCCCCGACACTAATCTGATGTTGTTTGCTTAGGCCACCACCTTATCATTCACTATTTTTATTTCAACAAAATACTTTGCATATGCATATGTAGACAATTTCTATATTTGTATCAATTTGAGCGAGAGTGAATGTGTTTTCAAAGTAAGTGTAGTAGTTATTAAGTTAACCTACAAACTTAAATATTAAAAATGTGATATGTGAGTGTTTGTGATTTCCTGTGAGTTTGGTTTATGTGTTTGTGAATTCTTTTGTTAGAATGAAGTATGATTTTACTTTCTGTCTATTTTATATTAGAATTCTAGCTTCTCCCGTGATCAGGGACGGATGGGGGAGGCAGAATGCACCTCTTCAAAATTATGGTAGCGTTTGGTTTATTTTATTTTTAATTTGTTTTTAGATCATAATTTGTATGAAACATGTTAGTCAAACATATTTTTAAAATATAATTCAAAATTACTTTCAAAACTCATCTGTTCTTTTTTTTTTATATATAAATATTATTATTAATCAATCAACGAATCACTTTTTCTCTCTCTCTCTCTCTCTCTCTCTCTCTCTCTCTCTCTCTTCTCTCCTCTTTCATTCTTTCACATTCTATACATCAATCATCAATAAATTAAAAAAAAAAAAAAATTACAAATCATCCCAAAACTATTTTCAAAACTCATAGCTAAACAAATTTTCTCTTTTCAAATTATGATTCAAAAACTCAAAACTCAATACACAACTCCGCACTCAAATCATTATTCTAAAACTAAATTAAACAGACCCTATATTTTTGCCCATAAAAGTTTAGAAAAGAATTTAAATTGCCCCCTCTTTTTTGTTTTTTTTTCAACTAGACCCCCTTCATTTCCCCTTTAAATATTGGAAAAATTACCATTTAGTGATAATTTTTAAAATATTACAAATTCATAAAAAAATTATAATTATAATTGTTAATATTTATAATGTTTACCATTTATTTGTAATTTTTTTTTTCAATCACTATTGAACAGTTATTTGCCCTTAAATATTTATATTGCTTTGAAATGGGGACTATTTTGTAGGTATTGAAAATCTAAAAATTTATACGAAATGAAAGAAGAAACTCTCAAACTATTCTTTTTAGGTATAAAATCCATATCTACACTATAAAAGTGTTTTTAAAACTCGTCGGAAAGACGTTGAAAATCGCTCCAGAGAGAAGCTTTTAGTGCCTCTCATTGAGTGGACTACAAAAAGTCTTAAAGATAACACATTATAAAGATTAGTATATGGAAGTTTAGAGGTGTATACATAGATTTAGTATGGTAGTACAGATTCGGGTCTGTGAGACCTATTAGGTCATTTTCAATCCTTCAAAAAATTTAAATTTGATGAAAAATTAGTTAAAACAGTACTCCAATTGTATCACCAAATCGATATCAAATGGAGGAAGACTTAAATTTTTCATCAAATCAATGGAGTTTTATCTTTCATCAAATTTTGTAGGTGATTGTTGAGTCGGACGTCCACTCGATGTTTTCCTGGACAGCCGAACTTTCTTTATCTGAACGTCAATTGTCACTCATGGATGAATGTCTGCTAGGACGTCCTCCTAGGCAACCGGGCTTGCAACAAGATTTGATGAAAATTTTAAGTTTATCATTGCAGTACATCATATGAGATTAAATTTTTCATTAAATTTTTATTCAAATTTGATGAAGCGTTGGAGATGCTCTTATGTGTTTCATTTTAATGATTTGAAACGTTCATTTTGTAAGAATTTTCATATATATCATTTATAAAAATAAAAATAAATCAATCAATCATTTAATTATAATTTATGTAATTATTGGTGTTTCTCCCAAATCATGATACCAATAACATGAGAGCACAAATTTCTGTACCAATCACTTTGTTTAGTTTTGAGTTTTGAATATTTTTTTATTTATATTTTGATCAATTTTTTTTAGGAAAAATTATTTATAAGTCCTATTTGGAAGACTTATTTAATGTGAAATCCTATGAATATTCTTTTAGAGTTTGAAGTCCTATTTAAATAGGAATGTGTTCCATAAGGTCCTATGAGTTGTAAATGAATGATATTAGTGTACTATTATATTCCTAATTTGTTTCCATATTATACCTTATTTTCTCATTCATCATATCACATTTGAGAAGGCTTTTAGGAAAGACAAGTCTACAAGCAACGACTGTACGAGCTTTTGTCGCCTTGATCGCGAGATTCCAGTGCATTTTCAAAATGTTGCTTAAATGGATGTGGATATGGTTAATGATATGATGAAGTTTGAGGGTTGTGTGTTGATTTCTTCGACAGATTTCAACTCCAATCAGTTGAGGGGAAGAGGTATTTTTTATTTATTTATTTATTTATTTTTTGTTGAAGTGTGAATTGTTCATCTTTAATAGGGTATTGACAATCTATCACACTCATTGATAGGCACACTTCAACCAATGTTCTGATTGAATATATATATATATATATATATTTGACATTGTGATGCTTGATACGTTTTGATATTATCGGTGTGTGGGGTGGTCTGTATGGGTTCAAGGATTGGGGGTATTTGGTTTTGGTTATTAATTGGATGTCGAATGTGAACTACGTCGTATGATAGCAATTGTACATTGGGACTTGGATGACCGTGTTACAATGCATGTTATATTTAATGTGTAACGTTGATCAACATACACCATGTAGTAGATAACATTTGTATGTTTGTTCGGTTGTATATGTATTTGAATGCGTATCGTGTCTTTGTTGTAATCAGTGTTTACATATATATCACAATACGTTGCATAAAATTATTGCGGATTTGGGTTTGTAATTGAATGTGGATTGAATCCCATCGCTCAATGTTGAATTTACGCTGGCTTGGGAGTGATGGTGGCTCAATACATGGGTTGAGTTAGAATGTTACATGTTACATTCAGGAGGTTACATTATTCATAATTCAACAATGAAGTACTGGAATGTCACGTTGGGTTTGGGATGAGAAGCAATGAGAATGTCACGGTAGTTTTGGGATGTTACATGTTGCATTTACATTGGGTTTGGGATGAGAAGCATTTGAGAATGTCGCGTTGGGTTTGAGAATGTCAAATTGGGTTTGGGATGTTACATATTACATTTATGTTTTGAATTTCAAATTTTCAACCATATAGATATGATTACAATCTATGATAACATTGGATTTCCGTCATTAATCAAGTTATTTTGAATTTTAGAAGCATATGAGAATGTCACATTAGGTTTGGAAATGTCACATTGGATTTAGGATGTTACATGTTACATTTACGTTTTGAATTTTAAATTTCCAACTATATAGATATGATCACAATCTATGGTAACATTGGATTTTCCATATACGGTATTGCCATTAATTAAAGGGAGCTTTTTTGATAAATCCACTTTCTAAGATCTTTATTTCATCGAACCCATATTCTTTTTGACTATTCCATTAGGTCCTATTTGAGATAAGAAGACCAAAATACCCTTTTCATCTACTTATGTTCCATTTAGTTCACATTATTTTCTTATGTTTCAATAAGTCCTATGGGTGACATAATTACCAAAATACTCCTAATGTGAATGTTCACACCGTCAATGTGAATGTTCATATCGTCAATGTGTAGGGGCCCGGCCCATGTCGATCCTCGTGGGTGCCTGGAAAAGTTCAAGTCGAGTCGGGCGGGCCCGGCCCGTTGACAATGTGAATATTGACATTGACATGTTAACATTCACATTAATAGGAGTGTAAAATTGGCCATGTCCCGTGGCGGCACGAAACCCGCCCACGGCCCATTGGCGGCTTGGGGAGGGCCCGGGGCGGCCCGTTGACAATGTGAATATTCACATTGACATGTTAACATTCACATTGTTAAGAGTATAAAATTGGCCTGCGGCCCATGGGCAGCCAAAAGTCCGCCCGCAGGCCCGGTCCGACCCGCCCCCGCCCGTTGACAATGTGAATATTCATATTGACATGTTAACATTCACATTGATAGGAGTTTAAGATTAGTCCGCGCCTTGTGGCTGCCCGAAACCCACCCACGGCCCGTGGGTAGCCCGGGGTGGGCCCGGCCCGGCCTGTTGACAATGTGAATATTCACATTGACATGTTAACATTCACATTGATAAGAGTATAAAATTGGCCCGGCCCGTTGACAATATGAATATTCACATTGACATGTTAACATTCACATTAATAGGAGTGTAAAATTGGCCCGCGTCCCGTGGCGGTGCGAAACTCGCTCGCGGCCGATGGGCGGCCCGGGGCGGCCCGTTGACAATGTGAATATTCACATTGACATGTTAACATTCACATTGATAAGAGTATAAAATTGGGCCGCGGCCCGGGGCGGGCGCGGCCTAGCCTGGGGCGGGCGCCCCGTTGACAATGCGAATATTCACATTGACATGTTAACATTCACATTGATAGGAGTTTAAAATTAGCCCGCGCCTCGTGGCTGCCCGAAACCCGCCTACGGCCTGTGAGCGGCCCGGGGCGGGCCTGGCCCGGCAGTTGACAATGTGAATATTCACATTAACATGTTAACATGCACATTGATATGAATATAGAATTGGCCCAGAGCCTGTAGGCTGCCCGAAGCTCGCCCACGGGCCGGGGCAGGCTCGTTTGGGTCCGGGCCCAAGCATGTCCGAGACCCTAGGCTAGGGCCTAGGCCATCACTTTGAAGCCTGGCCCGGCCCATCAGCCTGTTTAAGGCCCATTCAAGGCTCGGTCCGAGGCCCAGCCCAGCCCAGCCCGCCTGAGGCGCAATGTCTTTTTTTGTGGAAAATAATAAAATTTTGGTAGAAAAAATTAAAAAGAATGGCCAGGCCTATCCAAGCTCGACCTAAGCTCGAGGCTAGGCCCATGTACACCGACCCGACCCGAGGCTCGATCCATCGGCCCGTCCAAAGCCCGAATACCCTTGTGCCAGGGCTAGGGCTTGGGCCTAATTTTTTGGCCCGTGGGTCGGCCCGAATTTTTTCAGACACCAACGAGGCTTGATATGAGCCGGCCC